ATTGACTCAATTTTATGCATTAGATCACAAGTTATAATCGGCAAAAATTACGCTAATTAGTATAACGAAAATCACGTAGTCTAATACTTTTGACTGGGGAGTGTATCTATGTGATTTTTACTATTGAAAATTTTTTTTACAGACAATAAATATTATTTCTATTATATTTTTTTTTTGAGTTGTATGTCCATTATATTTTCCTAATTTTATTTTATGCATATTATATGATAAAAAGTTGCTAATAAATATATACTAAATATTAGTATTTTATTTATTACCTAAAAAGATTTGATGCAACTTCTTCTCCAAATGGTTGCTTTTCTTGAAGTGGAATATTTCTTTGTTTTCTTTTTTGAGCACATACTTCTTCAAGACTTACTTTCAGATTATCTTTTTCGATCTTGTTTGAAGCTAAGCAAAGTTTTGATTATTTAAATGATAATAACATATTTACATGAGTTTTAAATCTAATTTATTAAAAAATCTCTCAACCTGTTATTGGTGAATAATAATAAAATATATATATGCTTTGATAAAATTATAAAGCAAAGAAAATTCATATAATATAGAATTAATAGCATTGCAAAATTCCTCAAATTCATTATCAAATTCATTATCATTTAATAATATTTCTTGTAAACCAAAAGTATTGCTATTTTTACTATTAATATCATTTTCTAAGTTCTTTAAAATTTCAATTTTAAGTCTATAGGTATTTTCTTTTATTCTCTTTTTAAGATTATAAAGTAAAACTATTAGCAAATAAATATGCATAATCTTCACATAAATGGCAAATTGCTAAGAATAAATAAAATCATGTATCCAACCATTTTTCAAAATATTTATAAGTTGTATTAATTTCATTTTTCAAATTATTGAATAACTTTTCAAATTCATCATTTGATAATATTTTAAGAGCTTCTGATAATTCATCAGTAAAAAATATTTCTATATTATTTTAATGTTTTCAAGATAAGTTTTCTATTTATAAATCTTATCTACATCTCGTATGTTCTTTTTTACAGAGTAATTAAGCTAATTGTTCATTTTGTATTATATATAAATATGGATTTTACCTTGTCATAAACTGTACTAATAGCTTATAGAAATATTCTACAAAATTCATTAAACATTTTATTTGAATATTAAGCATTAAATTAGTTAATCATAATTCAAAAAATACTAATTATTCAAATATACTTTTAGTGTATTATTATAATTTTTCAGCTAAATAATAAACTAATAAGCAAATAAAATGTAAGCTTTATAATAATTCAAATACTACTTGACTACTTGTAACTCATAATTCCAATGAGAATGAAATGATAATTAGTACTGGTTATAATGAAATTCTATTGATCTATCATATAATTTCTTAATTATTGATGTATTAAGATTAAGTGATTTATTTTTATCACTAGAATTATAGCTATCATATAAATTTCATGCTAAATATAAAAGATTATATAGGTATAATTTTTGAGAGAAACTAGTAGAATTTGAAAGTATATCAAATGCTATTTGTTCAAAGTGACTAAATATAATTTGCATAATATAAATCTCACAACTAATACAAAAAGTATTTATGTCAAATTTTTATTAAAAAAGTTACAGCATCCTTTTTATTACTTACTATATATACTGTATTATCTGTAACCCACAAAATATATTTAGTGATATTAAGTTTATCTTCTTAAATTGATTGAATAATTTAATTAGAAACTCTTTCATTATTACACTTTAAAATATCTTTAAAACTTGTTATAATAATAATTAGAATTTGCTCTTTTTCATTTTAGACTTAATAGTAAAGAATAAAATTTTTAATTTCTCTATGAATAGACTTATTAACTATAATTCTAAAGACTGAAGTAATTTGCAATTTGAAAATATTATTATTAATATATAATTAAGAAATATCTTTATACCATATTTATTAAAATTGATATTCAATTTTATAAAAGTTTATCAATTAAAAATTCATAAATTAATTTAGTATATTTAACTGAAGTTTATATTAATATTTTTCTTACTTATGTAATATCAGTCATAAGCCAAATTGTATTAAAAATATTTTTTTATTTATTGATTATAAAAAGTACTGTAAACGGTCGACTAAAGTACCCTCTGAGTATTGTACTCTTCTGGCATTTTTAGTGACAAAAATGTATTATACCCTGAATATAAAACACCAAAGTTTTAAATTTTATTTTTAAAAAAATGTACCATATCTAGGGGTATAATACTTTGATTAAAAAATTTATTTAGATATAAAATTTGATTTATTTGATATATATAAAAATTAATACAAAAAAAAATTCAAAAAAAAACTAATTCCAAACATTTTCATAATTTGGTAGTTCTTCATTATATCCATTAAACTCTAAATCTTTTAATGATAAATCATTTTCAAATTCATTATCTGACTTACTAATTTCTACTTCATCTTTATGATAAATATCATTTCTTCTATTATTTTTTTTTTTATTTTTTTAGTTAAAAAGTCATAATCAAATAATAAATGATCCTCATTTCCATCTCTATTTACTGATATTCCACAACATTTAAATGATTTGCAAATTAAAACTGTATCAACATTATTCCATGAGTCCATAACCCATTTAGCAATTGTAGAATAGAATAGTTTTTTAATACGTCTTGCTGATGTTAATTGATGCATTTCTGAAACTATTCAATCTTGATAGTATTGTCTTAATTTAGATTTAAAATTTTTATTAATAGAGACATCCAATGGTTGAAGCTTACTAGTTAAAATGCCTAAAATTACTGCTATATTTGTTTATTTTTCAACAAATCTATTTTTAACAGAATTAACCAAATGCCCTCTAAAAGCATCTAAAACTAGAAGAAATCGAGGGTTACCTAATGGATTACATTGATTTTATATATTTTCAATCTACCATAACATTTCATTTTCATTCATTCATCCTTTTTCATTTATACGAATATTAATACCTTGAAGAAATTGCTCTTTTGGAATATTTTTCAATTTAAAAATACAAGTAGTTAGAAGTTTAATACCATCAGCTAAACATGATAAAATAACAGTAAAATGAGTTTTTTCATAACTAATTATATGAATAGTTACTGTCAAAGTATCACGTTGATCTAATATTGTATTTGAAGGTAAATCAAAAGTAACTGGAGTCTCATTCATATTACCAATATATTTTAAAGAATAATCATATTGAATTCTTTGATATAAAATAAAACTAAGAAAACTTTGTTGTTTTTATGAAAGATTATTTGGAAGATATTATACAATATGAGTTCATTGACGTGTTGCAAAATTAAATCTTTTATAAAACCTTCTAACCATACATTTGAAAATTTAAAATTATTAATATTTGGATAAAAATTAAAATAATCTTTAGTCATAGATTTAACCTTTTGAATAACCATATTTTGCATAACAGCTTTTACTGCTTAATGCATATCTATTACCTATAAAGACAAACTTCTTTCAAATTCTGAAAGATATATCTTCCTTCCTATATACAGTTTTTGAATATAAGGAGCTGCATTTTCTAATTGATTTTTTTTGGTTTTTCTAATATCATATTTGTTTAGGTTTAACATCAAATTTTTTAGTCACTAACCTATTACTTCCACATTGTTCAGTATAATGGATAATAAGTAACTTCTCTCTTGTACACCACTGCCTTTTTTAAAGTAATATGAGATTTTTTGTAAAAACTTTTACTACGATATACTACTATTTTACTTTTAAGAAAAAGAGTTTGTATTAAAGTTTTTGAAAGAACACGTTAGAAAAAAAATTGTAAAATTAATTTATTATGTGTTACATTCTGATTTAATTTTAATTTTAATTTTAAAACTTATGATCAAAATTTTCTGACCACATCCTCTCAAAAAGTAGCATCCGATTTTACTAGAGTTTATCAGTAATATTGAATTTTTTTTTTTTTTTGAATTACTCATTGACTTATTTTTTTAGATTAGTTAAGAGAAACTATCAGGTTTAGCTGTTTTAAATGATTCAGATTTTATTAATTAAAGAGGGAAACAAGGTTTAAAAAAAAAATTTAAATTTTTAAATTGAAATAGCATTAAAAAATATTTGACAAATTTTTGATGCACAAAAATTTATCATATTTTTATTAGTTTTGACAAATATATTTATACCTCTTTCTTGATCAAAATACCTTCTATAATATTGTATCCCCTAAAATTTAAGAATTTGTATTATATCTAGGGTACTTTAATCAACTGTTTATGGTAAATTAATCTTATTTTTAAATGTAGTATCTGATACTATTAAAGATTTTTAACTAAAAAATGAATTTCTGAAATATGTTATAACTTTTATTATATAAATGCCTTATTTAAATACTAAGAGATTTTGTCCTTTTAATTAACTTTTTTGTTTATTGATAAAGTCTTTTATTTTCTAATTTTAGCTAATTGTTTACATTTTTTAAAAAATCATTTGATTTATTTGATAATTGATATTTATAAAACTATCAGTAATAGAGTTATATGTTTTTATTTAAAAATATAGTGATAGAAGTTTATCTGCATTTATATCTTTTGAGTAATGCATAATTATAAGAAGATGGTTAGCTAATAGAACTTTTTTATCAGATAATTATTAAAACAAAATTGTTAATTTATTTTATTGCTCTTTAATTTTTTATTCATTTATCTTATTATTATTTTAACTCTTCTTAACTTTTAAATCTATACTTTATGTACTTTTCTAATACTTTAGTTTATTTGAAAATTGAAGATATTTCTTATAAAAAATCTGAAATATTAAAAATTCTATAAGTTTATAAAAAATCTGCATTTAAATATAATAAATTTAAAACAAATACATAATAACTTAAAAAATAATGTAACAGTTTACTTCTTTAAAAAATATTAAAAAATTTTTTTACTTAAAGAAAATTTCTGAAATGTTACTTTATTATTTTTTAAATGCAAATAAACTTTATTTAAAAAATCAAATTATTATGCAATAGAGATAACAATTTAGAATATTTTTGTAATTTTAAAGTATAAAAAAAATGAAAAAAATTCAAAGTTATAGAAATTTGAAAATATATAGAAATTTATTAAAGAACATAATTTAGCATAAAATCTTTAATAGTAAAAATCATATAGGTTCATATATAATTTTGATTTAATTAATTGACTACATATTCTAATAAATCATAATGATTAGTAAAAATTATTCAATACGTTTGATAAATAAGCAAGTTTACTATAACTAATTTTTAATAAAGTGAATTATCAAGATTAGCAAAATAATAATTGTTTGAAGAATAGTTATATTTAAATAATGTTTTTATTAGTATAATACTAGAATACCTAGAGACAGGGTTGGGAAATTTGTATGTACTAGGCAAATTTTGACCTTGTATTTGTACTGTACTATACTAAATTTTATATTAATTATTATGTGTACTAACTGTACTAAACTGTACTAAGCTGTACTAACTGTACTAATTTCCCAACCCTGCCTAGAGATATAATACATAAAATTAAATACAAATTGATTCAAAGAAAAAAATAATATAAATATTATATGATTCATACTTCAATAAGAGATTTTTAATATTATAAAGCATATCTCAGATGATTAGTTTTATATGACTAGCTATACTTGATAACATATTTTTTTTGTATTGTTTAGAAAGAAATAGAGTAGCAGGAAGAAACTTAAATTAGAACTTCTCTTTAAACTCACTTTATTAATTTTATTTATTTCAAAAATCTTTGTATAATTTTATTTAAAATAAAAAATAATATATTTTTTAGTAATTTTTATGATAATCCTGTTATAATTTTATTATTATAAAAAAAGTAATACATTAATCTGAATACTTATATTTTATTATTAATGACTAGTTATTCTTTTGATATTTTATACTTCCTTCTATTGTTACAGCTTGTGTTTATAATACTTGTATAATATAAGATAATATATCTTTTATTCTTTATGTATCTTTTTTTTTGTCAAATCTTTTATTAAATTCACAATTAAATTCTTCAGATATTTCAATTTTTTGAGATCTTAATAAACTAATAATAGATAAATATTAGCTACTATAATGTCATATACTGTTAAAAATTTTAAATTTATTAAATTTAATCTATTTATTCACATTTTTATTTATCTAATTTCTAATTTCTAAATACTCTAATATTGAATAACTATTTCTTAGTATTATTATTTGCTTTCTGTTAAGCTTAAAGATGAATAAAATTTTACTTTAACTACATTGTGAACTTGTATTAAATCTTGTATGAGATCTTTTTTTATTTCTATTATTTTAGCTTAGTAACTAATTACATAAAATAATTTTATAGAAACTGCATAGTCAAATTTCTGTAACTACAATTTTTATCAAGCTCAACTTTTACTGTTAATTGTATTTTCTGATTATTAAAATATTTTCTGATATGATTGATAGCATAAATCAAAAAAATTGAAATAAACTCATATATTAGGTTTTATTAGTTGAAATAGCTTAAAATGCATAACACATTTTTTTGAGTTAATTAATAAGTTTTTTATTTCATCAGATTTAAGTCAAGGAGACAGTTCTAATTTCAAATTTATGTATTATTTTAACAAATGTAAATATCATTGTAAATTTTTATAATTTCCTTTATTTTTTAATCACTATACATTTTTTTTTCTTTTATTTGAACTTCTAGATAATTAATAATACATTCTTTTTTATTATTTAGTTCAAATATTATTTACTAATGTGTTAAGATAAAATTCATTTTCAACTATTTCTCTTTTTTAGAATTTTCATAAAAATACTTAAATAAAGATTATTTATTTTCATTTTTTCTAACTTATTAAACTTTTTTTAAATAGTTTATTATAATAAAGTAAAAAAACTACTTGAATGTAATATTTTGTATTCATCTTTATTTAGATAAAATCTAAGATTCACATTAATTGTAAAGAAGGCAAATTAGTACTAGATACTAGATATTATAGAAAAGAGAAAATAGGTAAATGAATTTACTTACTGCTTATCTTTAATAACAGATAATAGATGATAATTAGATCTTTACCTTTATTTTATCTTTCACTAAAACTGTTCTATTTTTAAGAGGTATGATTCAGTCATCGCTATTGAAAAATTTTATATAATGATTTTCTACATTTTGAAATTCACTAAACTTACTTTAATAATTAGTTTAAACTTATCTAAGGTGAACTTTCTAGAAATATACTTACTTTAGTCAATATTATTTTGATAGTACTTGCTAAACCTTCAAAAAGAATCTATATCATAAGGATAATGCTATATAAAAAATATTAAACAAGCTATAATTAAAAAATTATAATATAAAGATATTTTAATTTATTAAATGAAAGCAGTAGTTAGAGAATAATAACTAGAAAAAAAATACTTGTTTAAAGACGTTTTTAGCTTGTTTAGTTTATTAATTATATTTATTAAACTTTTCCTATATTTTTTATTTTACTTGTAAATTTATAAATTTCTCTTCTCTAATTTAAAAATTTAATTATCCAAGATTTTTTAAGCAAAGTTATACTATTTATTGAGAGAATAATTATATTTCACTTATAATAAGTAAATTATTTAAAAAAAACATTTAAATTATTCTTTTCTTTTCTTTTTTAGTAATAGGTTTTTCAGCTTAATCTTGATAAATATTGATAAGTTTTTTATTTTTTTTTTCTTTCTAAGAATGGCAGTAATATTATTTCTTTTTTTTTAATCTTAAGTATATTAGAGGGTTTTTTTTATATATTTTTAAAAATAGCATTATTTGTTTTTCATTTTTTTAGAAGCAGATTTAGCTTGACTTTTTAGAATAGCTTTAGATAAATATTAAAAGAATTTTTAATTTTTTTTCAAAAATAGTATTGACGATTCCTTCTTTAATTTTATTTTCTAAAAATAACATTATCTTTTATAACTTAGACTTTGATTTTCTTGAAACGATCTTATATAAATTTTAAAGTTTTATGTTCTTTATTTTTTTTTGAATAGGTTTAACTCATTAGCATTTGATTAGATTTAAAGTTTTAATATTATTAATTAATTTTCTACTAATCTTTAAAATATAGAACATTATAATAGATAATTTTAAAATAAATCATAGATCAGTGATATTTAGAGCTCTAAATTAGATCAGGTTAATATGTTTACTTGACTTAAAAATTCAGATCAAATCAATAGATTTTTAGGTTAATATTAGATCAGATTAATAGGTTAATCTGATCTAATAAGATTCAGGTTAACTAATTATTCAATTAAAATAATGTATTATTATTTAATTAGAATAATATGTTATTATTCAATTAGAATAATGCATTATCATTTAATTAGAATAATGTATTATTAAAGATAGTTCTCATAATTATTTTCAAATTTCAATTGAGTTACAACTTAATTGCGCCATAAGGAAATTTAATTGCACCACAAGTTGCAACTCAATTGCGCCATTTTTTTTAATTGCAGTGACCATCTTTATGTATTATCATTTTAATTAAACAATTTATTATGATTCAATTAAAATGATTTTTCTTGAATAATTCATTATTGTTTTAATTAAAATGATTTTTTATTATTATTTTTAAATAATTTAATCAAATCAGGTCAGATCAAATGACCCAATTTTCTTAGTTAAATAACTTAATTGACCTAATCTAAATTGATCTATTTAAAATTATAGTAAAAATATTTTATATTAATTATTATTAATAAACTTAAGAATTTATTTTATTTAATAATTAATAAAAAAATTCTTTGATTTAGATTTTAGATTTTAGATTTTAATATTGTATTTAATTTATTATTTTTTTTTTTTAAATATTAAGATTATTAATTAAGATTTTTGATTAGATTTATCATAAATTAAATCTAAATATTTATCATTTTATTTTAAAAATATTAACTTTTAAAAAGATTAAGATAAATCTTAGCTTTTTTGCAGTTAATATATTATTAACATTAGAGAATAGTATTTTGTTTGCAGTTAAATATAATAAATATTAAGTATATTTTAGCTAAATAAGTTAAAGTTAAAAACTTTTTTTTCACTTATATTATTATGTAAATAGATAACCTTCTAAATTAATTTCTTCTAATTATTAATCTTATCATCAGTTAGATTTTTTTTCTTTAAATTTGCAAAAATAATATATATATATTTATTTTTTTTTTATTATCATTTACATTTATAAGTAATAATAAATTATCATAAAGGAAAAATTGTATCATAAATAATATCTTTTATAGTTTTTAAATAAAGTATAATAAGGATAGGATTTAATTGATTAATAAATTAATAAAATTTTAGATTTATAATAATACTAATTGTTAGATATCATCAATTATCTAATCAATAGATATTATTGTAGTTCTTCTTGATTTTTGCTAAATAATATTTATAACTTTTGTATTTTAATTGAAATTTTTAGTTAAATTTTAATATTATTTAAAAATATATTATTAAACTAAAAAATAGTAATCATTCTAGTCTGAAGCATAATTTCAGATAAAAACTATAATAAATTTTTTAGTATTTGATTTTTCTGAAATATATAAGATATAATATCACTAATGTAGAATTATATTAGATTAATATGTAGAATAGATTAATATGTAGAATAGAATAATATTACATTTGATATATTTAGTATTTGACTATTTTTCATTATGCTTCAAATAATAAAATTAAATATTTAATTAATAATTTTTTTATTTTTAAATCAATATATTTTAATTTTTTTTAATAAATATTTTTAATTATTAAAAAACTTTATAAAATATTTAGAATTAGATATATTATTAACTTTTAAATATTATAATAAAAATTTATTAATTAAAATTATAGGATTTAAAAAATTTATTTATTTTTTTATTGCAAAATACTTATATAAATTTAATTATTAAAAATAAAATTTTTTTTACTATTTAAGAAATTAATATTTTTAATATTTTTTTTTTTATTACATATTCATTAAATTAAAACTTAATTTTTTATTATTTAACATAAAATTATAATAATAAAAGTATTTTTATAATAATTTATTTAAATTTATATAAAAAATAATTTATTTATAATTTTTAAAATAAGAAATATTATTAATTCATTGATTAAATTATTTTATAAAGAATTATTCATTAATATTTTAATTCTTTAATAATTTGATATTAATATATTATATATATTATATTTTTATATTTAGCATTATTTTATAATAATTTCAGGTTTTAATACATTTTAGATTTCTTATTTTTTTTTTTACTAGTATTAAGTTTTTGAAGATTAACTTTACTAAAAAATTCCATTATTATTAATTGATTATTTTAAAGGTCCTACTTTAACTTTAAATGATTCCTTTCTTTTTCTTATTTTTTCTTTCTTTTTGTCAATAATCTGCTTTTGTTTTAATTTTAATTTCCAATTTTTTTCAGCTCCTTCAATCGCCTTTGTCATCAAGTTTGATGCTTGACCTTTCTTCAAACGCTTTAATTCTTTATCAGTCTTATCCAATTTTTTTTTTAACCAAACAATTTGATTTCTTGTTAATGGCTGATTACGCCATTTAGCAAATCGTGAAGCTACAATATGAGCATACTTTAACCCATATGTAGCTTTAATCCATTTATCACAAGCGTGTATCATGGATTCTAATGAATCACTTGTAATAGGTAACTTGGTTATATGCCTTGGATATTCTCTCTTTTTATGTGTAACATAATATATTTCTACAAAATTAATATAGAAAACATATTATAAATATAATTCATATATGACATCGCCCTGAACTAAAAATCTCCGTACCATTTTCTTTTACTATTTTTAATGTCCCATAGAATTGTAATGATAAGACATATGAGTCTTCTCCAATTCTAAGCCATGCATTATCGGAAAATTTTTGAATATGCTGTGCTCCTGAGCATTCATCAATAATTTCAAAAGGATTACTATATTCTGTTATACGAATCTTTGTCGGCGCATTTATTATTATTTTAGGTTTTTCCTTTTCAGGTTTTTCTTTGTCATATTCACAAAAATTCTCATCTGAGAGGAAATAAGGATTAATATAAAGAAAATGTAATGAATGGTTAACTAAACTAACCTTTAAGTTCTACTGTAGGATCTAATCCTAGTAAAGTTGGAGTTGTGGCTAAATCGGGAATTTGACTATACGAATCGATAAAATCTAATACTAGACAATCATCTTTTTCAGGAGAAAGGCGCATCCCGCGTCCAATCATTTGTTGAAAGAGTACGGGTGATTTGGTTGGCCTACTCAATATTATGCAGTCGATGTTTGGTATATCAGTGCCTTCAGTTAATATACCACAATTGACTAAAACAGGGAATTTTCTCTCTTTAAATTCTTTTAATATCGTTGCTCGAATATGAGGCTTTGTTTTGCTACTTATACCGTGAGCCATAACTCCACGTTTTCTAAACATTTCCGTCAAACTTTCAACATGGCTAATATCTATTCCAAAAACCAGCGTAGATGTTCTTTGTGCTTCAAAATATAATTAAGTCAATAATTGTAATACTACATAAAAAGGATTAAACTAATAGATAAAAAAAAAAATCTTACCTGCCAGTTCAAGATATGTGCGCACAATAACATCATTACGTGATTCCACATTGAGATATTTGGAAAGATCATTCATAATAAAATCTTCACTAGAGCTTTTAACTTTGGATAAATCAACGTCGGTTTTTATTGTAGTTACTCTGAGATTGCACAGCCTATCATATTTTAAATAAGTTTTATGAATAGGATGAACTTCATTAATATATAAATAATTACATATAAGTTATTTATCACTTCACTTACCATTTCTCCTGAATCATATCCAAGAAATCCTTATGATATGTAATTTCGTCAAATATATCTTTTAGTGCCAATCCATCATATCTTCGAACTGTGGCAGAACATCCCCAAACAAACAAATGAGTTTCTTTCTTATTGGCGCCAAAATACTCCAAGATTCGACGGTAAGAAGCCGCGGTAGCATGATGAGCCTACATTGAATGAATATATGTATCAATCGATAAATGCTTCAACTATTAACGTTAAATTAATTATTAAATAGATTACTTCATCAATTATAATAGCTTTAAAGTGCGCAGGATTATATTTTTCAATACGAATTGTTTCAGTCTTCCCAAGTGTATGCATGCTACCAATGATAACATTTGCATTTCCTTTTGCGATTCTTCCACCTTGATCTATTTCAATTGACTAAAAATTAAATTATTGAAAATTCAAAAAAAGTCGCCTGAAATAAATGAAATATAAAACTCGTGAAATCAACTCCTACCAAATTCGAATATTTTGAAATTTGCTTATATGCCTGATCAAGTAATTCTTCTCTATGAGCAAGTACAAGAACTTTATCAGCACCGGGAAAAGGAGATGGAATTTGCTTAATTAAATTTGAAAATATAACCTGTCGACGCGTAAAAAAGATGAATGGTTAATTCTGGAAATTCAACAGATTTATATTATATATTCTTATTAAAGATAGCCTCGTTCTTTTCGGTCTTTGAAAAGCACCAGATTGATTTATGGCGCACTTATATCAACTTCTACTGCGCCATTAGATGTAAATGCGCAGTCGTTGCTACATCCATCCAAATATTTAAATATTTCTAACCGACCGAGTAGGACCGGTAGTACCGCGAAACCACCTTAATATATACTTACAGTTTTTCCACTTCCTATAATTTAAAAATTTCCGATTAATATTTATATAAGTCGAAAGCACGTACAAACATGAAACTTCATTGCTTACCTACGGGTAACGAGACAACTTGACGGTTAATTTTATGATCAAGAAACTTGCTAAGACAGGTTTCAATACATTCTTTTTGATACGGTCTCAATTCTCGTAAAGCTAAATTATCTGCTTGTGTAACTTGATTTCTTATATCCAAACGAATAAATCTTTTATTTAAAATTCGTTGCAGAGAGTTTGAGCAAACACACGCAGACTTTATCGCATTATGAACTTTTAACGTGTATCTTGTCAAACGTCCAAACGCATAATTTGAGTAGGACATATTTTAAAGGTGAAAGTATCTTCTTTTTTTTACAACAATTTTATCATTATCTAGTCGCGTATTTTTTTCATGGGGAGAGGTTCCATTTTTGGTAAATAGATCAACTGAATATGTCTCGCAATAAGTGATAAGTTGATCTTATGATCATCAACCTTAATAGAAAACGCGTGTAAGCTCCAACTCGAAGTTGGTGGGCGTTAATTAACCTTCAGCTAATTTTGAATTGTCCAATCAAATCAAAGAACATTTCAGTTTGGTTGAATATGTAAATTTACCTTTTATATAAAACCTAAAAACCACGTTATCTATTTCTTATTCTTCTTGTTTTCCTTTCAAATTGATGGTTATAAAGAAAAATCAACACTTTTTGGAATACATTTTTAATAAATTCTTTGGAAACTATTCATAATCATTAGACAATTATTATAAAAAATTCAGTATATTAACTAAGTTTATATCCTTCTGTAAAAAATAATTATTGGTATAAAGTTTTTAATAGAGCTATTTGTAAATTCATCTTAATAATGAGTATTTAATTATATCAAATAATTCTAAATCATGATCTGTAAAAAAACTTTATCAAGAATATAGAATACTTAACAAAACATAATCAATTACATTAAACTCTTTAGTCTTATAAATATCTATACAAAATATAAAGATATTAAACAGATATTAACAAATTAACTAAAATTTAAGAAAAATTTACAAAAGATAGATCTAAAGCTTTATTTAATACAACTAAATAACTTAATTGCTAATTCGCTGATCAATCAGAGCAGATTTATATGATAAATTTAAGGCGATCAGCATATAATAATCTCTAATGCGTAGTAATTATGTGATACGTAAAGCACTAAAGTAACTTATATCAAGAAAAAAATTGATAGAATGATAAACTAAATCTGAAAGTTTTGATTTAATCATTTATAAAATTTTTTCGTCTTCTATTTAAAAACTTTTATATAGGAAAAACAGAGATTTGAGTAGGTCAAAATATAGTAAAATTAAAAATTTTATTGATTTATATTATAAAAATATTATTTTTTCTACTACTTATGACTATTTTTACTATTACCACCATTTTCAATTCTTTTATTAGTTTCACCTATTACTCTTTGTTCTACTGATTCTTTGCGTAAGCTTGCAGAATATCTTGTAATCTAACCTTCAATTGTTTTTATTTCAGGTACCTCGTCTTTTTAAATTTCACCTTCTGCTACTAATTTATTTAGCTCTAAAATCATATCTTTTGCAGATATTCAGTCTGTTTTATTCACATTTCCCGCTAAAAAGAATCCTTTCAAATAAGCTTTTACTATTACTATTATACGTTTTCTACTAACCCTTTGATCATATTTCTGATTACTCTTGAGTGTTTATCTATTTTCTAACTGAAATTTATCGCTTATGTCTATAATAATAGAGTAATTATAATTTGTAGAGAAAAACTTACATTATTACTAAGACAGTCTGGCTGTATCTACCTGTAGAACAGATTTGGATATTATTTCCAATTTCCAATGTGGTTTTATTTGTTTTATTTATAAAAGAAAAAAAAATGATTATTTTTTATTATCTTTGAATAAACATAAATATAATAAATATATTTTTTATCTATAATATACCTTTAATCTGAACTATAGAAAATTCCATGGCAAATTTGGTTTATATGTGTAGAAATATTAGGAGTTGGCTTATGCAAGAATTTATTAATTAATTTTGAAATATCAGTTAGAGAGTAATGTGACCATTCACCTATATATGATAAAGTTTGAACTTGAATATATCTGATGAATAGGTCTTCAATTGGCCATTCAAAATATGATAATTTAGTAATGCTAAATATAATTTTAACGAACATATGATTTTGTTTTAGTTCTAGATGAGCAACAGAAGTTCTGCCAAGATTCTTTATCACGTTTTCTATTTTCTCACCATTGTTATGGTTAGTTCTTTAAGATACTTATGGGTGATAAGCGAAGCAATATATATGGGTGGTAAGCAGAAGATTTAATTTGATATTTAGATTTAGAAGAGTATTAGTAAATTAACAGTTTATTTAATAACTATAATAATGGAGTACTACCTCAGTCAGCACTCTGTACTATACAATTATGTTAGAGGGATTAAACTAAACTATTATATAAAACTATGAGTCAGACACACTGCTAAGC